TATATTGTCGGAAATGTCCTCATACCAACACCGTCAAGACTATATAGAAATCCGTATTACTGAGCCCCCAGAGGACTCGAGGAGACATAGCGACTCAGCCAAAGCCTCACCTTCTAGGAAAGGAGGCAGCAAAAAAAAAGCAAGAAAGACGGCCACTGTGGAGCCGGGCTCCGATACAGAACAAGAATCATCCAAGATGGCGCCTTCAAGAACAACCAGAACAGGCTCCACCTCCACAGCCCCTAGAAAGGCTTCCAGCAACCGTAGATTGACAGACGACTGGACCGAGGTGACAGAGCCTGAAGAGAGGAGACGCATTCAGAACCATATCGCTCAGCGCAAGTTCAGTATGTTTGCCTTTATTGGCGCCTTCAATCTCAAAGAGACTCGACATTAACCTTAACGAACAGAAAAAAAAACAGCGTGAGCTACGTGACCAGAGGCACCGCCAGGAAGTCAACTAGCAATACGCCCACTGCGTCTATCACATTCCCGAGCTCGAAGATCTTGCCTTCGAGGACACTGACCTTGCCGGTCTGCCATGGGGTGGTCTTAGCATCCGCCATGTCGTAGCCCGCGGCCACGCTGAGGCCAGCACAGGAACGCTCAGCCATCACAGCGGGCACAGCGACACTCTCAGCGTGACGGCCGGTTTGCCCGGCAGCGGGATGATGACGCCAGCGCCGGCGTCTTCGCCAATGCCACCGCAGACGCCGAGCTTCTTCTATACAGCCGCCGATCAGCAACAACAAATGCTCTATGGACTGGACTCGTATGGCGCGTATAGCTCGGCTCATCACCATGCCGCTACGACAGCGGCTATAAACATGATGTTTGATTCGCAGAGAGATGGTCTTGGAGATGTCAGGGGGATACTATGATTCGCCATATACCGGCCCCGTATACGGGGAGCACGACTTTGATGGGGCTAGGGCAGACGGGACGCAGTATATGTGATGTCCTTGGCTAGAGGTGAGGAATGATAGATAGTAATAGACATATTTCCGTCCGCCATGTCTTACAGGTCCTCGTCGTGGTTGATTCAGGTTGAACCTGTAAGCAACGGTAAGTACCGCTTCAGGAAGATTTTGGATTGCGTTTATCCCACAATATCGACCTCAGTTTCCTCGATAGGCGTTGCTACAAATGTCTGAACCGAGAGAGGCGAAAATGTAGGGTTCCAGATGCTGTCCAGCCGCATGCAGGAACCCAGCCCCTGCATATTAACCCATGAACCCGTCTTGTGCTACCACGTTGCCGGGCTGACCCGCCACGTTGATTTCACAGATGACGGCCTGTAAAAGACCGAGCATGTTTCCCGCTGCTTGTGAGGAAACTATGGCATGATGCGTTCTGAACCTGTTCACTTTTTTTTTCAGGTTAAAAAACCAAACTTATTAGAACAGACACCGT